ACGTGTTCATGGAGCGCCACCATTACAAGCCCAACAACAACGTTGGTAAAAGCAGAGTGTCAATGCATTTGCACTTTCGCTACCATGCATTAACAATATGGAGCATTCAAGGATACACCTTGAGTGTAAACAGCTACCAACTAACTAATTCATCTAAAGACTTAGCTAATAAAGCGAGTACCATTACTCTTGGGGTTCTTATGAGCTACCAAGAAACAGAACGAGTTTAGTTTACAAGAGAGGCCAAAAACAAAAGACGCAGTCTTTATCACCCAACACTTGCTTAAGAGCAAGGTAAAACCTCGTCACGGCATGGATACAAACCATCTGACGCCACTATCAACAGTCATGGGTAACAACATCCGAAAATACAAAAAAAAAAAATAACAACTAAGTCTGAAAGGAGAAGATCACTCATCGATCTCCTCATCATCTCCCTTCTCACTGCCTTCATCATCGCTGGCACCGCCGCTCTCGCCATCGTCGTCATCCGCAGCAGCAGAGGCCTCGGGAGTCTCCAGCACCCTCCTCGCTTTGGCAACGAGATCCGCAAACACATTGCGGGCATCGTAAATCAGGGCTTGTCGCTGGTGTAGCTCCTCGATCTCATCCTTCAGAACTGGCGGATCTGGCTTCTGCAGAAGCGCGATGAACTCCAGGTTCGCATCAATTTCGGTGAGGTCCAACATGTCTTCCCTGGCCTTCCCGTCAATCTCTGCAAGTAGCTTGGAGAGTTCGCCGACTCGCTCATCAAAGCCGCAAGTCATCTCCTCCTTTGCCCTAATAACAGCCTCATCCACTCTAGCATCTTGATGATCATAAGAAAAATCTAGATGACTCCTCAACAAAGTTATCTCGTCCTTATCTTTGGTACGCCCAGACTCGACCTCCGCTAACTTACTGCCCAACTCCTCTTCGTTCTTCTTCGCAACGGAAGCGTCACTCTTGAGAACCTTGTTCCGCTGGATCAGTTTGGCCAGTCTCGACTGCAAGGCGACGTTGGCCTCTCTGGCCTCGCTAAGCTCACTCTCCCTAGTGCAAGCATCCTTGTCATAATCGCCAATCAGCTGGCTCAGGTGGAGAAGGAGCTGCATACAAGAAAAAGAAGAAAAGAGATGAAAAATTAAAACGAAAGAAACTAAGTCGTTGGGAAAACATTAAGTAAGGAGAAAATTCAAACCTTGGAAGCCTTAGTTGAAAGCCTGGCAGAGGCAGCTGCATCATTACTTACTAGCGCTGCCCTCCTGGCCGCAGCTGAAGGGGACGTATCCACTCTCTTCCTCTTCAGAGGAGCGTCTTCAGGAACGCCATCGCCTTTGCCACTAGAGAAACGAGCTCTCTTCCGTGACTGATCATGAAGTCTTGCGGTCTCGTCAGGCGTAAGGGGAGAAGCGCGAGGACGCAAGACCGACGCTGCTGGCGTCTTTGGCACTGCGTTCGTTAAAACTCTCGTCTGCAGCGACGCGGTCATCGGCGCAGCAGTCATCGGTGCTGCGTTTGTCGATGCCGCAATCCTCGCTTTCGCCATCTCTGCTCTCTGGCGGGACAATAACCGCTGCTCGCCTCGACCAAGAGTCTTTCCCAGAATGACCGCGATGGAAAGCGCTCTCTCAATCCTCTGGAGGCTAAACGATCCTCGCCAATGACCTTTCCCAGTAGAAAGGACTCTACACATAGCAGCGATAACATCGTCATCAATTACAGGCAGCGACGGCTTCACTGCAAAAACCAATGGGTGAGGTGACGCGTGTTAAAAAAAAAATCTTTTTTAACAGATAAAGAGGAATTAAGTGTTCATTACCTCTCCTCGCCCATCTCGCCTTAACAAGGACAACAACGTCCGCTCCGGCGGTCCTCTCTAAAATTTCAGCAAAAAAGAAACGGTCCTCGAAGTGCTCATCTTTGCTAGGAAACCCGTCGATAAGTCTCCGATCCGCCACGGGAGTGATGCTATACTTGAGCTCCTCCTTCCGACCGCGAGTCCGGAAGTCCAACAAGCATGACAAGTGCTCGATGCTGATCTCAACGCCATGCTCCCGACTCATCACGTAGACACCGACGAGATGTCTGAGGCCCAGGCACCGGAAACCGGAGCAAGCACGAGTCAAAATAGTTCTCGTAAAGAGTAAAGTACCCGGGAGGCAGAGTATTGGCCCTGTCAGTGGAAACGGGGGCGATCAACGCAATTTCCTCTGAGATCTCACACCGCCTCCGGAGAAGCCGTAGTGACTCCTCATCTGTAAGGGAAGACCCAGGAGGGATAGGACGAATCGGTGCCTTTCTTTTCCTCTTAGCCGTTATTGGTTGCTCAACTTCGGCAAGGGTAGCTTCGTCATCTCTTTCGGTGCTCGACGCTAGCGAGTTAAACGAAGAGGATGAGGGCAGCGATTGCGATGCATCCGCAGTGCCAGGCGGGAGCTGCGGATCCACGTCGTCAACAAATCAAAGGTCATCAAAAGCATTGGTGGCTTCGGGAAAACCGCTCGGGAACATCGGCTCACCACCTCGCCGAACTGACCTCGTCGGGTCATCGACGCATTGGCTCGAGGACATCGGGGTTCCGCCTATCGAGTCTTCGGCGACAAGAGCTCGATTCCTCGGGGCAACATTGATCTTCGGCGTAGGGTCGGTCCGAGAGGTCGAGATAACTAAGCTGGGAAGGGAGGCCCTTGCATCTTCGGTGCCACGAGTAGAAGACATCGGGTCTTCGGTGCTACGACGAGAGGGCCTCGTATCTTCGTGCTCGCGAGGAGAAGTCCTCGTGCCCTCGGGTCCGTGGGGGAAGGACCTCGAGTCATCGGCGACAAAAGCGACGACCGTCACCTCGGCGCGAGAGTCTTCGGCGGCATGAGGGTCTTCGGGGGAGCAACGATTTCCGGCGACGAGAAGCTCTTCGGGGAAGCAGCGATTTCCGGCGATGAGAAGCTATTCGGAGGAGCAGCGGTCTTCGGCGCCGGCACGGCGGTCATCGCCTCCGCGGTCATCATCGCCAACTTTGGTGTTATCCATAAACA